CTTGAGTAAAAGTACTCGGATCTTGTACTTGAGTAAAAGTAGAAGTACTCAGATCTTGTACTTGAGTAAAAGTACTCAGATCTTGTACTTGAGTAAAAGTACTCAGATCTTGTACTTGAGTAAAAGTAAAAGTACTCAGATCTTGTGGATGTACTCCAGGTGGAACTACAGTCTGAGGAGGTTCACTGACTTGCTGGCGAAGCCTCTCTGCCGGCTGCTGGAGAACACTCTGTTGACGATGGGCTCTCTGATGCTGAAGAACATACGTCTGTCGTCCGGGCTGAACACCAGAGACTCGTTGTACAGATCAGTCACTGAGGACACACACACACACACACACACACACACCATCGTCACATGAAACTAGGTGACAGAACATGTTCAATCTAAAATAAATAAGAGGTTTATAAACTCACCCTTTTCAATGAAGTCACGATTCAGCGGGATATCAAGACCTGTCTGAGACTTTCCTGAAGAAGAAAAAAGGTGAATTTTAAAAACCTGGTTCCCTTTAGACTTCATTTGAGAATCAGAAGTTGTACGTACCGATGTTGAGAACCTCCTCCACCGCCTGTTCAGCCAGTTTATTGATGTTGTATGACCTGAGCAAGCAGACGAGAGGATTCATACAGGATTACAAATTCTCGCGCACTCGAGCTGGTTTCTCCCAAATGACCAGGTATATAGTGCACTTTTTCATAGGCTGCTCAATTAAATCGTATTTTAATCGCGATTACGATTATGGCTTGCAACAATTACGAAAACAACGTAATCAAAATAAAACGATTATTTTTTTATTATTACTTTTTTGTTTTTGTTGTTTTTCAGTTGAGTTACACTTAAAGTTCAGGGTAATCAACTGTTAAAAACAAACCGTTCACATTTTTTTTTTCTCCAATAAATGGATGTTTTCAAAGTCAATGAATAATCGCAATTACAATTATTGACCCAAATAACGAGATTATGATTTTTGCCATAATCGAGCAGCCCTACATTTTATAGTATGTTACACAAAGACATTTTACAAGATACACTTCATAGAAACAACATAAGAAAACACTTCAAACATATAAACCACAATACATCAAGTGCAGTAGAGTGGGTTTACCAGGCTTTGGATCCTGTTCCTGTGCAGATGCTGAGACCTGAGCTCTTCTGCTTCTCCCACGGCCCGTCGTCCACTGAGATCTCATAGTAGGAAGCCCTATGGAGCAAGAGTTTAACATGCGGTTTGATCGAGTTTAACTCCACCCTGTGGTGGACACAGATTGCACCGGTGAGTTCTGCAGACTGGTAGGGTGACGGTGCGTCGTCTGAGGATCAATGAGGGAAACAACATGCACCAATCAACTGGCTTCATCAGACAGGATGACAGGTACCTGGAGGACAGAGACTCTCCGATGAAGATCTCATTCAGGCTTCTGATCGGGAGCAGGTTAGGCTTGGAGAAGCTTTCGTATGGATTTCCTTTCCCTGTGAAATGTCAAAGTTCAATGTTCAAGGGTTCAAGGGTTCAAGGGTTCAAGGTTCTTTATTTGTCAAACAAACATAGCTACAGTGTAGTTATGTCGATGTTCATTTTGTGTCACAGGCTTGAATTAGTAGAGAAACATTGAGAGAATAGAAACATTGATTTGGTTCCTGAGCGGGGATTATCAGACAACATGTGTCTCCAGCAGAGCTCTTTTTAAGGACGTGGGAATATCAGCTGATCATGGATTGACAAATCTCAGCGTTAACATCTGTAATTAACACAGAGTGCAGGGGGCACGTCATCTGTCTAGAGCCCAGTCACACCTTTAGTTCAGTGTTGATCGAGGGTCACAGTGTTCCCCCTGTCCGGCAGCATCGTGGGGCCATCAACTAAACGCAGGCCTTTTGGTTTTAGTCCTTTGAACACGAGATCTGTGATTTGTGGACCATTGCATATTTTTGTTATAGAAAACTCAAAGTGGACTTTTTTGGATTTAATTGTGAACTGTGGGAGGAGGGTTTGCTTTGGGGGATATTTGAAACATACTTGCTATTCGTGATACAGAATAATTTTGTCTTTTCTTATTTTCTAATGTCATTCAATGTTGGGTGTTTGCAGTGAGTTGTATTCACTTGTATGCCGTGTCGACTTACTCAACTGTGACTACACAGATCCTATATGTCAGGAGAGAGACCTGACTCGCACCCGAAAGGGAAATCAATAAACCAACAAAAACACAACTTCAACTCGTGTAGATCAGTGATTGAAATGGTTCTTGTAAACGGGGACTTACGGAGCATGGTGGTGATTCTGTGCGCCTGGCTGTGTTGCTCCAGGCTCATCTGCTGCTCGTGAAGATCCACGGGCGTCGGGTTGATTCCCGTCCCCTCTAAGTGCAGACGGATCCTCTGACGCCACAGCCACCTACACACACACACACACACACACACACACACACACACACACACACACACACACACACACACACACACACACACACACACACACACACACACACACACACACACACACCTTTTTAAAACACCAGTGAGAACCGCTCGACTCTACGTTTCGTTAGAAGGCTAAAACAATAAGATCGAAATGAAAACAGCAAACCAACAGATATTCACTTTCTTGGTATCTTTTATGGCTCAATCTCAGAAATGTATAAGTCCTACATTTCCCACAATGCAACTTGATAGCATATTTCTATTAGACCCTTACTACCTGGTCCCAGTTCATTAAAAATGTACCGTTACACTGGTTTTCTGTTGTAATGGTGATCAAGAATACAGCTCTTAGTTGTGAACAAGAAAACATTATACATATATTCATAGGTGATTGGAAGGTGCCATTTGAAAACACTTTAGGATATAGGTCTGCTTTATTGGACTAACTTGAGGGTCAATAACCTGAACATAATTAATGTTTGAGGCGGACACAATTTAAATACATCCAACAATCATGTCTGACACAAGCCTGTGAGACGGTTGTGTTATAGCACAATGTTTAATACAGCGTATTTCTGATATTCATTAAAGATGTGTGTTACTGAGTTGGGTCACACACAGAGAGACAATGGTCGTTCTGAATTATCAAAAGATGTATTCATTTGAAGTGAGCTGACACCGAGGGTAGAGGAGGTTCAGAGAAGGGCTCAGGTTATAAAAACAGTTAACCTTTGTTAGTTAACTAATCCTAAAGATGTCATGAGACGATGATGCTTAAACATATACAAATATAGCTTTCAGAGAGAAACCTGTGACCTTTGTGTGGTAGGCTGCATGATCAAATGTGTGTGTGTTAAACATGCTTAGGGAGAATGTGTGTGTGTTCATTGCAGTGGCTATATGCTGTATGATTGTTGCTACTACATGCTGTGGCAGCAGGTGATGTAATCCCCATTATTGTTTGTTTGTTGCAACAACTAAATAATAATGACTGATCAGCTATATCTGTGTTTGTGTTTTATTGATTCCTCTCTGTTTCATACTGTCCTGTTGTGTGAGAGCTGCATCGCCACAACATTTGTCTCAAAAACTGATTACATGTATTGTATTTTAGAGACATAAGCAAGATAAATGTGTCCTAACATATGTAACCTAGACAACACAAGTGAAACCAGGTAATAATCCAAAAGGATATCTGATCTGCAAATCAATTATTAAAGGGGAGGTTTACGAGTCAAGTCAATTTTATTTATATAACCAAATATAGTATGAACAACATTCAACACCTGCTGTCTCGTTCAACCCTCGTTTAAGATAAAGGCTTCTGAACTCTCGTGTAATTTGCAATTCAATCAAACCTGCAGAGCGTTTAGAGTAAATCTCAGGTACAGTGATCTGAAGGACTTGTGTCATTTAGACGGGACACTGTAACTGGATTTAAAATATCCCACAGAGTCTGGACACACATTGGGGAGGTTTTAGTAACCATGTGACTTTTTTCCAGACAACACAACTTTAAACTTGTCATGACCTCTGAGCTCATAGCAAAGAAAGTTGTTTACTTGTTTACAGACGGCAGCTGGGAGTCATTTGGGAGATTCTCTCTCTATATATCTATTTATAGATGACTCCACGACTGAATATAAGCTACAGAGGACACACAGGGCAGCATGGACGTCCCAACATTACAGTGCTATGATTATCTGTGGATAAATACGCACCTGAACTCACCACAACAGAGCTTCTTCAGGGCCTCTGGGAAGGCATGAGTGTAGCGCACGGGCAGGCACAGGTGACCTTCTGACCTGGGGTGCAAACACACGTGGGAGGAATGACAGTGTATGCTTTTTACTGTGGTGAGAGTAATCAATTACTGTAAGGAATCTGTGAATAACTGCAATATATACTTCTACTTTCACACTTCTTCTACATGCTACACTTTTATTTAAATTAAAAAAAGTTTTTTTCATTGATTCACAATATATCAATATGTCTGATTGTTTTAAGCCCCTCCCCTAAAGTGCTGTAGAGTGGTTTACCTTTCGGGGTCCGTGTTCACTCCAACGACTGGTTTGTCTTTGCTTAAAACCTTACTGGCAACAAGAAGCATTGTCCCGTCACCTGACAAAACAAACTGCAGTCAGTGGACGTGCTTTGTGAACTCTGAAGCCTTTGTTCATGTGGCTTTTTGCACCCCGGTTACAATCAGTGGAAGTCTGGCAGCGGTGGAGAGCAACCAAGTTTTACATTTACTCAAGTTCTGAACTCAAGTACACATTTCAGGTACTTGTACTTAACTTAGTATTTTCTTTAAAGGTCTCCTATTCTGCAAAATCCACTTCTTCATGTCTCTTCTACATCAACATGTGCCCCCTCTTCTTCATGTGTCTTCTACATCAACATGTGCCCCCTCTTCTTCATGTTTCTTCTACATCAACATGTGTCCCCTCTTCTTCATGTCTCTTCTACATCAACATGTGTCCCCTCTTCTTCATGTCTCTTCTACATCAACATGTGTCCCCTCTTCTTCATGTCTCTTCTACATCAACATGTGTCCCCTCTTCTTCACGTCTCTTTTACTTCAACATGTGTCCCCTCTTCTCCATGTCTCTTCTACATCAACATGTGTCCCCTCTTCTTCATGTCTCTTCTACATCAACATGTGTCCCCTCTTCTTCATGTCTCTTCTACATCAACATGTGTCCCCTCTTCTCCATGTCTCTTCTACATCAACATGTGCCCCCTCTTCTTCATGTCTCTTCAACTTCTCTGTACCTCTTCGTTCCCCTTAGTGGTACAACTAACATTCTCCTCGTACTTCTGTTCGTCCCCTTGTGTACAACTACAGTCTGTGCTTATGTACTTACTTCTCCCTGCGTGTGTACAACTACATCTTCTACATAGTACTTCTGTCTCCACACCCGCCCCCTGGGTGACAGAACTGACAGTGGGTCTGCTACTTCTTTCTCCCTGGTACGACTACATCCTCTGGTCACTTCGCTTCTCCCCCTGTGTACAAGAACACTTCTTCATTCTGTACCTCTTTCCCTGTGTACGAACTACATCTTCTTCTGTACTTCCTTCTTCCCCTCGTGGCTACAACTGGGACATCTCCGTCTGTACCTCTTCTCCGCCTGTGTACAACGACATCGTTCTCTGTAACCTCTTCGTCCCCTCGTGGAGCCTAGCTGGCGTTGCGCTGTACCTCTTCGTCCCCTGCTGTCCCACAAC